AGGTGAGCAGGGCGTGGCACCTGCTTCCAGCTCTCCTTCTACAGCAAGATTCTTCCAGGTGCTACGATGTCTTGAGATATTATATTTTTAAAACCAACTGATTCGATTCGTCATGGAGTTTTTTACACAAAGGAAATTCAGATCGAGACCGAAAGGAATACATGCACATCTTTTGTCCATGCAAAATAACCGATGATTGTCGAATTCTGGACTGAAGTTCCATTTTTATCCTTAACACTCGAGCATTTATTTTGAGATCAAAACATCTTATGTGTTCACCATAAGAGTCTTCAGTTAATCTAATTTCTCACCACCTTGTCATAAGTCAGCTCGTGCCTTTCCCAGAGCATCGCGGACAAACCCTCTGCAAAACTTACAGCCGAAGCGGGAAGCCTACGGAAACAAAATGCAGAATTGGAGAACGAAGTGCAGAATTTAAGAAAACGGACACAGGACCTACAAATTCAGGTAGCTTGGAGGGCCATAAATTTTAGCGCATTTTTTTAAGAAGTCTCCTTACTCTTCAATTTTTTTCTTGACTTCCTTCCTTCCTAAGTTCGCAAATTAAAAAGCGCTTGATGTGTCATTTTTACTCATTCTAGGTGGATCAACTAACCTACGAACTGGAAAGCCTCAACAAATCCTACGACGAGGAAATGAAGAAGCGTGTTCAGCTAGAGAGCTCAATTACCAAACAATCTGCAACTGTCGGTTATGAAATTGCTAATTAATAAACTATAAAATACTACTTATTTTATTCTTGCAGATGGAATATTCACAAACTCTTTCAGCGGAGGTGGACGAGTTGAATTTGACTGTAAAACATTTGGAAAGTGAACTTGAAAGAAAGAACTCTCAGGTGTGTGACTAAAATAGTTTCAGCTGAACCATCTTTTTACCATATTTCAAGCTTAATATAGGTTTAATTGCTAGAACTAACTCATTGGCATTTAAACAGAATTTGGATGGACCGGTAATTTAAATGCTTTCAAGCAGGAGATGAGGCTATCTTTTGAATTGCCAGATCGAGCAATTGACACAGCAGTTGGATCAAACAGTCAAGCTGTCCCAGCTAGCCACTGTTTCGGGCACCGACAGAGATGCTTTTGTGACCGAACTCAAATTAAGCCTCCAACGCACTCAGCAGGCCCTTGATGCCGCCAATGATCAAAATCGGGTTCTACAGGCTCGGAATGAGTCGGCGCTTCTTGAATCTCAACAACAACACCTCATTCAAAGGGTAATTATTGCTGCATATTTATCACTTCTCCTGTACAGCTATTAAAGTCCCTTTGCACCCTGTAGTAACGTTTTACTGTCTCGGAACAGATTTTAAATAAGTACAGTCGGGTAACAACATCTGGTTTATTTTTTCCCGAGTCAACTCCTGCTCTTTTTCGTCGTGAGAATAGAACTAAAATTTGTTTCATAAAGGTGAACGAGTGGTTTCAATTTGTGCCTATATAGAGGGTGAATATAAACAAAATTACAAAAAAAGATTTGGTGACAAAACAATTTTCAAAAAAGTGATTCTGGGGAAATTATTTAATTT